TTATGTACTACATAAAGTATTTATGTACTATAACAAATGTACTAATGTATGTGCCATAATGTATGTACTATAATGTAGGTACCATAATACTGTATATGTAAAATAACACATACTGTATATTATAATGTACCCTAAAGTACTTATGTATTATAACAAATGTACTAATGCATGTACCATAACGTATGTACTACAATGTATGTACTATAATGTATGTATCATAATATATGTTCTATGATGTATGTACCATAACGTATGTACTATAATGTATGTACTATAACAAATGTACCAATGCATGTACCATAACGTATGTAGTATAATCTATGTACTATAATGTATGTACCATAACATATGTATTATAATGTACCATAAAGTACTTATGTACTATAACAAATGTGCTAATGTATGTACCATAATGCATGTACCATAATGTATGTAGTATAATCTATGTACAATAATGTATGTAAATAAAACTTTACTTACTATAATCTATGTAATATAACATATGTACTATAATGTATCATAAGGGTTAAGGAGACTGTATCTAGTTTTGAAGTAGATTTTAGAGATTAATTGCACCTAAAACATATTTAAAGCTCATTTTAAACACTTCCTGATAATCTTTCTGCTCTCCAGCAGTCCAAGTTTAAAACTGTTTTGGTCTAATCCCTGATCGGTCCACAGCCCGACTCTGTCCTCACCCGTCTTCGCCCACAAAGCTGACGTAGAGTTTACTCCTCTGCAGGTCTTTACGAGAATAACACATGATCTGGTTGAAGGCGTCCTCCAGCAGATGGTCTCTGCGTATGATGAGCCTGGAGCCACAAGGTGACACACACACACACACACACACACACCAACATAAACACACATTTAAACATCAGAAAAATAAACCAGGTGTAATATTAGGGTTATTCTGTCGAAGACATTAAAACTAACTTGACTTTCCCCGGCCCCTGTCCATAACCCTTTGTCTCCAGCTTTCGATAGAAGTTCCTCAATTTAGCTTCAAAGTCCCGTTTATAGGGAGCAGGAGCTCTGGCATTGGCTCTCTGAGTCCCTGAAATAAAAACAAGGAAACAAACAGAGACATGAGGGCAGAGAGAAAACATCCGAGGGAGGAAAATCCTAAAATAACTGTCCAACAAAGAGGCGGAGACAGAGAGACAGGCAGATAACCAGGAGAGGCCTCCATCATCAGGTTTGTAATCAGATGTATGCAGGTTAATCCTGGATTTTAGCTTCTATCAGCTATGAGAAATTTAAATATTGACCTGTCACGAACTGTAGATGATGAGATATTCAGGTTTCTGTCTTTCTGAAACTGTTTGTTCAAAGACTGGTGAACCTCTGCCCTTCTTTACATCTAAAATACTACGTCTATATTTAATTTTAATTATGTTCTGTTCCTTTGTGAATAAAATACATGTTTATGAGATGGTTTTATTACATTTTACAGAACATCCTAACTGTTTCTGTATCAGAGTTTTAGTAGGAACTTAGTGTATTTAAATTCCCTGTATGCTACACGATTCATCTGTTAGTACATACATGTGTGTCTCTGTGCAAAAGACTTGATCAAGACTTAAGAGAGCCAAACATCAAACTAAATACAAACATTACAAGGAAGTCTGTTTGTGTTTTATATCAGTTTGTCACAAAAAGATTAATTTATAAACCAAAGCTTTCATTACATTTTATAATAAAAAGATGAGAATCTAATATTAAAGTCTGAGTGTTCAAACAAAGCTGGTCTCTTTGGACGGGGGCGGGGCGGGGGGGACGCAGACAGCGAGACAGAGATTTACCAGGGGAGCTCTGAGGAGAAGAGAGGCAGTAACCTGGGTGGAGCAACGACGGCACGTACGACATCACTTCCTCCTCAAAAAGGCTGAAGGCAAGAGAGGAAGGCAAAAAAAGCCCAGTCAGAAACCAGTCCAGATGAAAACAGAGAGAATCAAACCAGCAGGGTGAGAAACGACATGACGACGACTCTGGATGTGGGACAGCATTTTTATATTCGTCCCACAAACTGAGACCACGTCCCAGATTTTGACTGGATCTACTTTCAAAAAATGAGCTGTTTTCTGAGGCAACAGCAAATAGTGGCAGTGCCAGCTAGCTGCAGAAAATCTAAAACATCCTGCAAAAAATACTAATTCTGTTGTAAAATAAATAACAATATAAAGGTTTAAAATAATGTTCACATTAACTTCTGTAAAACTTTTATAATTTGAGTGATTTTAATTTAGATATTAACTTTGGTTTCAGATATTAATTTGGATTAGCCATTAGCTTAGGCTATCCCTTATCTCACTTATCCATTAGCTCATACTAGTTATTTGACTTTAGCTCAGACTAGCCATTAGCTTTGATTATTCATTAGCTCGGTCTAGCCCAGACCAGTTATAAGTCCCAACTAGCCATTAGCTCGAAATTGACATTAGCTGAGATTTGCTTAAATTTGCCACTAGCTTAGCTATTAATTAATTCATATTAGCCATTAGTTCTGACTAGCCTTTAGCTCAGATTTGCCAATGGCTCAGATTAGCCATAGTCATTAGCTCCAACTGGCCATTAACTCGGACTTGCTATTAGCTCATACCAATCATTAGCTCAGATTAGCCATTTCCTTGAATTTGCTATTAGCTTAGACCAGGGGTGTCAAACTCCAGTCCTCGAGGGCCGCTATCCTGCATGTTTTAGAGGTTTTCCAGCTCCAACACACCTGATTCAGTGATTGAATTAACTCTTCAAATTGGGCAGAAGCCTGTTAATRACCCAGCGATCAAAATCAGGTGTGTTGGAGCAAGAAAACCTCTAAAACATGCAGGATAGCGGCCCTCGAGGACAGGAGTTTGACACCCCTGGCTTAGACTATCTATTAGCTCATATTGGCCATTAGTTCTGACTTGCCTTTCAATTGCATTTGCCATTAGCTTGAACTAACCATTAGCTCAGATTAGCCATTAGCTCGGACTAGCCTTTAGCTGAATGAGCATTATTACAACACAAAGTCTTCAGATCTTTTACAAGGTGGAAAACACTGAACTGAGGCGACATGAAACACGAACCTGAAACAAGGATACCTGTCGCCACCTGCAGGACTCACCTGAGCAGCATGACGAGGTCAGCGTCACTGGAGAGGRGAGCCAGCCCGTTGACTCCCTCGCTGCGAATAAATTGAACCTTCTCCCTGCAAACACACACACGTCATAAACTAATTCAATCCATCAAAATTAAAGATGAAGTGAGAGTTGGTGCTGGCTAATGATGAGTAGGAGGTTCTATTTCGTGTAAGCTCCGCCCTCTAAGGCTATCGCAGATGGGTACCCCCGTGCGCGTACGCGCATTCTGAAGAGCCGATAGTCCACGCCCACGTGACGTGGGCCTCACCTCGGTCCGTATAAAAGGGGAGAACGGACCCGAGTTCANGGATCGTATCGATCCCCTCCTCAGTGGAGGCGGATCTGAGCCACTGGGGGAAGCCACACACACTGTCATCAGGAGTCCCTCTGAGCAGAGCGACACATCACGTGCCGGTCTTCACAGACGCATCACTGTCGGGGTGGGAGGGGGACATGTTGTCCCAGACTGAGGGAGGCCGCTGGTCTGCCCACCCTGTCCCCCACATAAATGTTCTGGAACTTCTGACTGTGTGGAAAGTGCTTGTGCATTTCATTCATCTGGTCCGGGACCAGCATGTTCTGGTCCACACGGACAACAAGTGGCAGCGGCTTACATAAGCCGCCATGGAGGGGTATGCTTCCGGCTGCTGTTGGACACAGCCAGAGAGCTGCGCCTCTGGGCACACACCCACCTGCGC